CTCCAAGTGGACCAAAGACCTGAATGGAAGACCTAAAATTGAAACCACTACAGGAAAGCATAGAGGAAACTCTTCAGGACACAGGCAGAGGTGATGACTTCCTGACTCTAATAGCTGAGGAAATAATAACAAGAACTGACACATGGGATGACGGCAACCTGAAAGCTTCTGCACAACAAAAGAAACAATCAAAAGAGTGAAAAGAAAATCCACAGAGTGGGAAAAAATCTTCACCAGTGACACATCTAACAGAGCTTTAACATCCAGAATATATAAAGAACTCAAAAAACAAAGAGTTGAGAAACCAAATGACCCAATTAAAAGATGGGCTAAAGATCTAAACAGAGAGTTCTCAAAGGAAGAAATAAAGATGGCTAAGAAACATCTCAAAAAGTGTTCAACATCGTTAGTAATTAGGAAAATACAAACTAAAACCACCCTAAGGAATCACCCAATCAGACTGGCTAAGATCAAGAGAACAAATACCAAATGCTGGCAAGGATGTGGAGAAAAGGGAATGCTCATTCACTGCTGGTGGGATTGCAAACTCATGCAACCTCTATGGAAAACAGTGTGGAGAACTCTTAAACTAAAAATGAACACACCATATGACCCGGTTTTACCACTCCTTAGCATATACCCAAAGGACTCATCCGATTGTAGAGACACTTGTACAACCATGTTTGTTGCTGCTCTTTTCACAATAGCTAAGAGATGGAAGCAACCTAAGTGTCCCTCAACTGACGAGTGGTTAACAAAATGCGATATATTTACACAATGGAGTTCTATTCAGGAGTAAAGAAAGATGAAATATTGAAATTTGCAGGTAAACGGATGGATCTAGAAACTGTCATACTAAGTGAAGTAACACAGACTCAGAAAAACAAATGACCCATGTTCTCCCTCATATGTGGCTCCTAGCACCAAATCCTTTTAAATTCCAAGTCCTTTTAATAAGATGATGATATATAGCAGTCCCTTCTGCATGAAATAACTACCATCATCATGACTTCGAGCCTGATTGCTAAACAGTCACAATTGGGCTTGTTGAGGGTTGTGCTCATTCATTAAAGGAGTACCAAGCAGGGTCACTGGACCCTCACCTGAGTATCCAGCCACTCTTCCCAACCAATTAGTCCAGCCTTTGGAAGACAAAAGAAAAATGAGGAAGAACCCAATAGAGGGATGCTTTTGGAAGCCCTTGTCAAGAAACTCCAATGGACTCTCATATGAACATTTGAAAATTGCCCTGTTCTGACGTTTTTCTAGTTCCCTGTCTAGAACTTGTAATGCTAATTACTCTTGCCTTTACTTCTCCTTCACATCTCCCATTCATGATTCAAGGACTTTCTTCTCCCCTTAGAGACAAAAGTTATGCAATTTGGGAGTCTTTTAGATAGACTCACTGAAGGGTACTCCAATTACCTCACCCTGCATCCCTGTTCAGCATGAAGAAGCCAGAGAGGTCTGAGGCCTGATTCTCTATTGGCAATTTGGGTAACCCCTTCAGATGATGGCATGATAAGAATAGGAGGTAGGAATTGGCTAGGCAGTTAGGGTAAAAAGACCCCCAAAAATGTAGCCAGTTTCTTGGCTAAAAGTCAAAATGTCCTTGGGCCTGTTAGCAACATACTCTGTTCCAAGGCCAAAAATGTCAAAAGTATTTGGGAGCTTGTATTTAACCCTTATAAGATTTTAGGGTTACCTCTTCAGAGGGGGAAATGTTGGAGGGGAGGGAGTGGGCATGGATTTGATCAAAACACCTTATATGCATGTATGAAATTCTCAAAGTTTTTGTAAAATTAAAAAAAAAAAATTTTGCCTTTAAGTTAACTTTTGGTTAGACATTTAGCCCATACATAAATGTGCTACAGTATCAAACTTTTTATTGAGTAAATAAAACGTCAAGTTTCCCAAATGTGCTGAATTTCTTTAAAAACACAAATGTCAATAAACAATACAGAATCAAGAAATACAGTTCAACGGATTAATTACCTGTGCGCCAAGATCTTTCATGTAGGGCCCAAGTTCACTAAACAAATCATATCCTTGGTGAAAGAAGGCCAAGTGAGCGTACATAAAGGACAGCATCTAATGAGGAGAAACAACAGCCATTTTTAGATCCACTGTTAGAGAAACACATGGAAGTTCCTTAAAGTCCTAATTACATTTAAAATCATTCTACTAGAGCCCAAAGTGCCAAATCTACTGAAGACTGTGGGGTTGCTTGTTTGTTTGTTTGTTTGTTTGTTTGTTTGTTTGTTGATACAGGGTCTCCCTATAGCCCAAGCTGTCTGGAACTGGCTATGTAGACCAGGCTAGCCTCCATCTCACAGAGATATGCCTGCTTCTGCCTCCGGAGTGTCAGGACTAAAGGCATGTGCCACCACACCCAGCTAAGATTGAATTTTTATAAGGAGTACTTCATAAATATTTGCAAATACAATGAGACTTAATTTTTTTAAAACAAATATCACTGTGGTTTAACATTTTAACAATACCCAAAATGTTAGTTTTGCCATACTACATCTAAATAAAATTCATGTAGTTGATTTAAATAATAAAATTTTCAAGAGCTTCACTGTCTTATTAGAAATCCTTGGGTATATTATGAAATGCCTATGTGGTCCTTAAAGTAAACTTAAGCAAAAAAGAAATGAAAAGAGAAGAAAAAAATACAAAGCCCTCAAAAAACTGTGACAAAACCTTTTTATTTTGAATCACCAGGTACAACTTAAAGTGGAGAACTCTCAGTTGTTCTTCTTTTCCAACACAAAAAAAATATAGAGTCAACATTTTGCCAACGTGGAATTCTTGCTTTGTTTTAGCATACATTTTGTGTGTGTGTGTGTGTGTGTGTGTGTGTCCGTCTGTTTGTCTGTCTCTGAGTCTGTTTGTGTCTGTATTTGTGTGTCTGTATGTGGGTGCCACAGTGCACACGTGGAGGTCAGGCAAAAGGCTGCAGAAATCAGTTCTCTCTTTCTACCACATGGGTACTAGGGCTTGATCGGGTTTTCAGACTTGGTGACACATGTCTTTACTTGCTGAGCCATCTCACCAGCATTGGAATTTCCTTCTTTTTTTCATTCTTCAAATTCAAAACTGACACTAAGAATTGAGGGTTGCTGCTTTTTGTTTGTTTTCAGCTTTTTCTAGATTTTACTAATCCAAATAAAGAGGCCCCCTTACATTTATTAGTTAAGTTTTTATATGGGAAAGAATTATATAATAAATGTATGCAAAGAATATCCAAAGATATACTTTGTTTTTAGCAAGAAGACATCTGTTTAATATTCTGAAATTTAAAACAAGCTATAAGATTGTTAACACTAAAGAATTCTCCCAAGAAATTTTGTTTTTAGAATTAAAAAAAAATTATATAAACTCAAAGATTTAAGGTTAAAATTCATATACAAAAAAATTATTCTAGGAGGCTAGAAAGGTGGCTCAGCAGTTAAGAGCACTGGCTGCTCTTGCAGAAGACTTTGGTTTGGTTCTCAGCACCCACATGGCAGCTAGCAACTGTCTATAACTCTAGTTCCAAAAGATCCAATACCCTCTTCTGTCCTCCCCAGGTATTGCATAACATTGGTGCACTCACACACATGCTGGCATAACACTTATATACATAAAATATAAATAAACCAAAAATAATTGTTCTAGTATTAAATAATGGTAATGATAATAGTAATGATTACACAACTGTGTGAAAAAAATTTTTAAGCACTTAATCAGGGCTGGAGAGATGGCTCAGTGGTTAAGAGCACTGGCTGTTCTTGCAGAAGATTCAGTTCCTGGCACCCAACAACCATCCCTAACTCAAGTTCCAGGGGATCCAAAGCCCTCTTCTGGTCTCCATGGGCACTGCACAATATAGGTACACTAAAATACATGTAGGCAAAACACTCATAAAAAATAAAAATAAGTTAATTCTTTAAAAAATTTAGATATCTGATAGAGGTTTAATTACCAGAATATATAACGAACTTAAAAAACAGAGACCCAAAACAAGAAGCAACCCAATTGAAAGATGGGCTAAGGAGCTGAAAAAAAAGTTTTAAAAAGAAGAAGTAAAGATGGCTATGAAACATCTTAAAAGATGTTCAACATCACTAATAATCAGGGAAATGCAAATTAAAACCACTTTAAGATTTCATCTTACCCCAGTCAGACTGGCTAAGATCAAGAGAACAAATGATGCCAAGTGTTGGAGGGGATGTGGGGAAAGGGGAACACTCATCC